GCCTTATCAACTTTAATGTCCACATGCACTGCTGGAAGAGTTGGAGGCCCCAGGTTATGTGCAGTTTATCTTGGTTGACACTCCCTTGTTTTTTTATTTAAATCAGTTTGCAGTAGGTTCTTTAAAAGCATTAAAAGCGGGTTTATTTGAAAAAACCTCCTTCGTTTATAAAAGCTCTCTTTTTCTTACATCTAAAGGAGGAGATGGTTTCAAGAAGCTGTGTTACAGAACTGGAATGGCTCTCAGCGTGAAGATCAGCCCAAATCTCTTCCCACACACCTCTTCAGACAGCTGCAGTAAACTACAGGTAGGTGTGTTTTACCGCCGTGCGCTCTGGATCAGTCAGTGCGCCTCAGGACCACCAAGAAAGACTTTGTTCTTTGTCTGGGAACGCAACAGGCACAAACTCTCCCTCTTTTAATTAGAGCACCGCCACACTTTATCAACAAAGATGCTGCTACTGGAGTTACTGTTGTCTATAAACAGAGCTCCTTCAGTCAGTGTGAATGAATGGGTCATAATAGTCTTCAGGATTCGCATTTCAAAGGTTTTGTTTTGGTAGTAGGTGTTTCATTATCAGAACAATCCTGTTTTTGTTTTATTTTTTATGTTATTTTCCATATTAAAGTTGGAGGGACTCTATAAGGGAAGAGTATATCATAGGGAAAATTATTTTGACTTAGGCCTATTAGCAACCAATTCATTGTCCCTGTGTTCCAGCATTACATTAACAATACCAATGTCAATATGTAATATTTTGATTAAGTATATATATATATATATATATATATATATATATTAATAGCTTTAGTTTAGTTTTAGGTAACAATAATAACACCCAAGGAATGCATGAAGTGATTAAATATATATGTTGAATGCAATGTAAGTGGCTTTGGATAAAATAAGGAAATATAAAAATCTAATTATCAGAACAATTTTTTGGGGGTTTTATTTTTATATTTGCACACCATGTTGTGTCTCTCTAACCCCTCATGCTAATTCTGAAGCATCAATATTGTTCATGTTTAGTGTAGAGATTACAAACCCCTCGAACTAAGTTATTGAACTTTGCTCTTAAAATTTGAGGTTCCAAAAGGTTTTGTTTTCTTAGTATGATGAAAATTTTAATAATCTAAAGAACCTTTTTCTACTATAAAGATTAGAACAAACCCTTCACACTCAAATTTGGTATGTAACTCACCACAGAAAGGATACCTCAAATCATGCAAGAAGAGGTGTACTATTACTTTTCTACATCAAACTTAAGATCTACATTATAGGAGGGAACAGAGTAGGGACCACAATATCTCACAGATTTGGGCATGGTCACGTTTGAGCTAGTAAGCAACAGCATAGCACAGTTTTCTTCACCTTATTCACAATGACCTTATGGTTTGAGTAAAGCGCTGCCCTCTCTCAACTCTCCTCCATTCCTTCATTCTTATGCCCCTCTGATCTTGCTCTCCTTTTGGTGTTAAATAAGGTGAGCCGAAGAATTATTAGATCTGCAAAATGCAGCAAAGCCACAAATCATGAAGCATTAGAGTGAGAACAGACAGCAGCTGCCCTGGTAATCTACTCTCAAAGGGGCTACTGTGGCCCCCGTTCTCACAAACCTCAGACGTCTGGTCCTCTGTGTGTGTTTGATGCTGTATGACTTTTAGACTTGTGTAAGTGTTGTGTATATGACCGAATATATTATTATAATTATTTCATAACGACTAAGGTGAAAGGAAAATCACAAAGATCTTATTCAAAATAATGGCAGCAGATTTTGTGACAACCTTTGAAAGCAGCCATGCGCTCACACAACAAAACACTCATCCTTCATCTCCACATCAGCAGCTCCTATCAAAGTCTTAGCATGGCTTGAAGTTGGTGAGAAGAAAAAAAAAAGATTTAAATGAAAAAGAAGAATGTGGAAAGTGTGGGAATGAGGAACAGCAGGGCAGACACAAAGGCCCGCCGTGTGTCTGGAGAACTGACCCGGTCCAAGACACACAAAGGAACCACTGCAGAGAAAGCTGGACAAGAGCTGGGCATCAGTCCTAGAGAGAGAGAGAGAGAGAGAGAGGAGGGGCAATTTTGCAACTGTTACAAACAGAAAATGTGAGATTGAGTTCTGTGTAACGGTTGTAGATTACCATTTAAAAGTTTTATTTTTATTTTTTATACATATATTTTTGAAAGTCACTGCAGTCTCCCGGATCCGGATCCAGTCCGTATCCAGCCCAGATGGTGGATCAGCACCTAGAGATGACCTCTACAGCCCTGAATGTCAGCGGAGATCAGGACGACTAGATGAGCACCAGAGACAGATCCCCAGTGAAGACCTTGTCTCCTAGACGGCCACCGGGACAAGACCACAGGAACCAGTTGAGTCCTCTGCACAATCTAAATCTCTAATGATCAAGGCTGAATTTATTTGATCAAAAATACAGTAAAACAGTTATATTGTGAAATATTATTGCAAGTTAAAATAAATATTTTCTATTTAAATATATATTACAATGTAATTTATTTTTGTGATGCAAAGCTGAATTTTCAGCTTTTACTGATCCCAAACTTTTGAATGGTAGTGTATTTTAAAACAAAAGTCAAACAAAACAATATAATGCTGTTCGAAATAGAAGTAATCGATAATCTTCCCATTTTCCAGAGCTCAAAATCTCATTCGGCCTTCTGTTCATTTAAAAATAGTGCCTTTACTCACAGTGGCAAATTTGAAGGTATCATGAACTGCTTTTTTTTATTATTTAGTATTGTTCTCTGAGGTCCACTTATAATGTTAGCAATATTTTTTACATCAAAAAATAATCATTTAGAAGTTATAAGCTATTTTCTGTCCTGTTTTGACCCCTCTCATCGGAACGTTCTGATTGAAAAGGTGACACAGCATCATCTTTTAGTTTCAATCTTCCTGAAAATCCTGCGTCGAATTATGCCTTGTTTGTAAAGGAATCCACAGTAAAATGAAGTGAACAAAGGACCAAGTTCTTACTGACACGGTCTACTAGCTGCTGCCTGTCTGTCAGGGGGTTTAACTGATGACAAATTTATTTGGGTTATAATTTTTTCCCATATATTACATATTTTATGGTAATATATTTAAAGTATAATTTCTATATTACTAATTAAAATAATCAACATTAATAATAATAATATAAATATTCTAATATTAAATCATTTATTTTTCCTTATAGAACATGGAATTGTCCAGATGTGGTTCACAACACTTATCTGTTGACTGGAAAACTAGACTGAATACAAGAAGGAGAGAATGACAAGTTTATGCAGTTGAAAAGATAGAGGAGCGGGTGACACACCTGACAGCAACCTGATCTGTGTCGGAGAGATTCATGCCAGTGACTCTGACGGATGCTGGTCATGTTGACAGAGACACTGCGGCATTTCTCCAGTATGTCACAACAAAACGGCCGGCCTTAAAAACAACCACAGGTGTGCTTCGAGAGGTCTGAGAAATCTGTTTACACACACACACACACACACACACACACAGCCAACCTATGTCACACATAGACAGACAGACAGACAGACAGACAGACAGACAGACAGACAGATAGATAGATAGATAGATAGACAGACAGACAGACAGACAGAGAGATAGACAGACAGACAGACAGACAGATAGATAGATAGATAGACAGATAGATAGATAGATAGATAGATAGATAGATCTAGTTATTGGACTTATGAAGCTTGTTCTAACAGGAAAGTAAGCTTACTATGCCAGCTGTAGATTTGTTTACAGTTTTCATTTTGTTGTTGAAAGATTAACTGAGTATGTATCGCAAATCATTTAATTTAGATCGGAGCTTCGGAGCGTGTTCGTGAATCTTTTGATTCAAATCAGAATTTTGGAGTGGGTTCGCAAATCATTTCACGAATTGAACGATTCACGATCTGCACTCCAAAGTCCCGATCTGAAATGATGGTTCGCGAATCGTTTGATTTAGATCGGAACTTCGGAGCAGGTTTGTGAATCTTTTGATTCAGATCAGAACTTTGAAGGGGGTTCGTGAATCTTGATTCAGATCGGGACTTCGGAGCACATATCATGAATCATTTCGTGAATTGAATTAATTTTTTTCGGATTAATTTTGTTTATTTTTTTCTGTTTATTTTTTTCAGATTTTTTTTTTCTGTTTTACTACAAATACCATGGTTAAACTATGGTTAGTGTAGCAAAACAATGGTTAATTTGCGGTTACCATGGTTTATAATCATGTTTTTTTTTCACCTTAAGAGGACACATAGGATGAATAGAGATTATAGAGACAATATACTTGTCTAGATCAACTTTGAATAAAGAGAGGTTTAGAGCCACATTTAGCTAGCAGGAAACACAAATTAAGTGTTATATTTTGATATATTCTCTTTTGAGTAGTCAAACAATCAAAAAGAAAACATCTTTAAAACAGAAAGTCACTTACCAAATGAGATTAGAAACATTTTTAAAAAATGTTTGGGTACATTGTCAAACAGTGAATGACATATTCATCAGAAGAGTGACAAAAACACTCTGCATACAATGCAGAAGCACTCTGTATATAATGCAGGAGGGGTTTAGGCAGCAGCTGGGCTGTTTTAAAATCCTGAATTTGACATCTTTGAAGCGTCAATAACTGATCCTCTTCTTTACATTCCCTGCAGTGTTAAAACCACAAAGTGCGGCATCTAATCTCACAGATCCAGCACCAGATCTGCTTATCATAATTTACACCCAGAGATAACAGAATGAGGTCAGTTTTAGGTCACTGATGGAAATACAAAAGAAAAAACAGACTAATGCATCTACATGTGCCTCTCAAATGAAAACTAATTTTTAGATGTCATTAAGATATCCACTTATAATGAATGTTTGTTTGTTTTTCCTCTACAACTTCTGCATGCAGATTCAGCGAATACTCTTACACACTCTCACAATAACAAGGATACAACATATTATAAAAGACTTCTTTATTTCTAATCATCATGAAGCACTTTCAACAAAATGATCTCACGTGTGGTACAGGACTACAATCAGTAATAATTCCAAGCTCAGGCAGTAGTTGGGATTTGGTATAAAAACTAAATCGAGGTGTCTAAAAAAAACTCAGTTTAGATGCATTACAAGCTACCCAGAAATTAGCCAAAGAAACGACAAACAAAATACGTAACAACAAAGCTGGTCTTGACAAATGCAATATGTAATACAACTTGTACAACTTAGAAAAGTATACTTATTTTAGACTCACAAAGGACACATACATTGTATGTGTTACATTATTATTATTCTTTTTGTTGTTTGTAGTAAGGACATAAAAATGCTAACTACATCATTCACATATTCAGCAGTCTGTTTAAATACCTTATTTTTCTACAAAGTGAATTTACATTGTTTTAAAGTACAAAGTGCAAAGACTATGGTTTCCATCGTCGTTTTGGTGGGGGCAGGATCTGCGGGACGGGAGCGGGAACAATCGCTACGACCACTTCAGCCTTGCTTCTTTGACAGGTTCTGAAAAAAGTCAAATGAGAGAATGAGGAAAATGCGATTTTAAAACAATGACTTTAATTTATAAATGCAATTATCTACTTGTATTAGTAATTGGTTTCAATCTACTGCTCTGTAAAAAAAAAAGAAAAGAAAAAAAAAAGAGAGAAAGGCTGGAATGCATGTTGTGAATGTTAACAGCCACTGACATTAACTCACCAGTTTACTAGATGTTGTGCCTTCACCTGTTTTTGCCCCTGAGGAAAAACCAATGAGAATGTTTTACAAGCCTGTTCCCCATTACATGAAGGCAATACGGGTTATTTCTGAGAATGGTATTAAACAAATGCAAGCGCTCATGGTCATTAAAACGACCACACAGTCTTCAAACAATCTCAGGCTGAACCTACAATAGGTAGAGCTCAGTATTTCCCTCATCCAGTCAAAAAGCAGAACACTTGAGTTTATGCTGCTCGTGAGACAATGCTGTAAATCCACGGATTTCATCATAAAAATGAAAAACATGCCTGTTTTAATTTGAATAAGAGAAATCATGTTGCTAAGTCATAATTATGTGAAAGTAATTGACTATTTTTTTGTTCTACGGGATTTCAAACAAATTGGATCTTGCAGATTGGCATTCCAAAAGCGCAACTTGGACCTGATTTTCAAAAATCTTATTGGGGTCGGTAAGAATTTATTACAGAAGGCTTATATTTCAAATAAATGCTGTTCTTTTAAACTTTCCATTCATCAAAGTATCCTGAAAAAAAAAAAGTATTATGGTTTTCACAAAACAGGCAGCACCACTGTTTTCAACACTGATCAGAAATGTTTCTTGATCATTGTAACATTGGGAAATATATTAAAATAGTAAATTCTGAAAACGTTTCACAGTATTACTGTTTTTACTATGTTTTTGATCAAATAAATACAGCCTTGGTGAGCAAAAGAGGCTTGCAAAAACCAGTGACCAGTAGTGTATGTTCCATTCGGGGGGCAGTTGTGGCCAAATGGATAGAGAGTTGGACTTATAACCCGAAGGTCGTGGGTTCGAGTCTCAGGTCCGGCAGAGATTGTAGGTGGGGGTAGTGAATGTACAGCACTCTCTTCCACCTGAGGTGAGACCCTTGAGCAAGGCACCGAACCCCCAACTGCTCCATTGGCTGCCCACTGCTCCGGGTGTGTGTTCACTGTGTGTGTGCGCACTTGGATGGGTTAAATGCAGAGCACAAATTCCGAGAATGGGTCACCATACTTGGCCACACGTCACTTTCACTTCACTTAAAAGTGCATTCAGTGGAGCATCACCTTGCATTTTTTCCTCTACCATTTCAAATCAAATTATTCCCTTATTATTAGAAACTAGTCATACTAGTCTAGTATGTACAGTTGGCCTTATTTCTCGGACATCCTTCAGGAAACAGTGAGTCTCACCCTCTTCCTTAGTGACACCCAGACAGCCCATCAGTTCCTGTAGAGACAGGGCTTTATCGTTGCTGATGTCGCAGTACTCCACAAACTTCTTCACACACTTCTTGGGTTTGGATTTCTTGCGCAGTAAGCGCTTGAACGGTTTGATTTCTTTCTTTCCGATGTCGCCGCTGGAATTCTTGTCAAGCTGACTGAAATACCAGTGCACAACTCGCTCTTCCAGAGTATGACTGGGGTCAGGCTCCAGCATCCTGAATGGAGGAAAAATCAAACACTGAACATGTTTATACGCACTTTATTTTCTGGTTAAATGCCTGTGAAACATGTACTGTATATAAATAATAAATGAAGTTTTCATTTGCTGCCTTTTGATCATTATAGGGCCTGAATAGCAACATCAATTATTCTATTCAGTTAGCTAATGAACTAAGAAAATATTTTTACACCACACTGTAGGCAGGGTCAGTTAAATTCATGAACCGGTCCATTACATCTACATTTGTCCTTTCTCAGTTTCTTGTTTACCTGCCGGCAGAGGCCGGGTCAGTTACTGCATGGACCATGTCTGTGGACAACGCGTCCAACACGCTGGTCAGGAATTCTGTCTTCTTCTCCCCAGGACATCCTGAAAAATAGAGAGATGCGAATGTTACAAAAAGAGCTGCACTCTTTAAAAGAACAGTTTAGAATAACATGTTTGAAAAAAATGAATTTGAGTGAACTATTTAGTTCAACTGTACTTCACTTTTGATTGTAAAACGGTCTAAATGTTCTTTTTTTATTGGATTTTAGTGACACTAAGTTGTTGCTTAACAAAATCCAATGAGAAAAAGATTAAAAGAGAACAAGGCTTCCTTTTATGTGACATTTACCTTCAGGTTATCAGTATAAACAGCTATGAAACCTCATAAACAGCTGTTGGGACTGAATTACCTCATGTAACTCTGCTGCTCTGGTTTTAATTACTGAACTATGTGATTTTGTCACTATTGACCTCATTGAAAATGAATAATTTGCAAGAAATGCATTAAATTAATCAAAAGCGAAAGAAAAGATGTTAACAATGTTGAAAAAGATTTATTTTCTAAATTACTGCTGTTCTTTTGAACTCTCTATTCATCAAAGACTCCTCAAAAAAAAAAAAGTATCACAGCTTCCACAAAAATATGATGCAGCACAACTGTTTTCAACATTGATAATACTAAGAAATGTTTCTTGAGCAGCAAACCATAATGATTCCTGAAGGATCGTGGGACACTAACAACTTAAGTAACTATGCTGAAAATTCAGCTTTGCATCACAGGAATACTTGACCAATCCCAAACATTCAAATATCTGAATGTTATTTTGCATTTTTAAAAATGCAGCAGACTAAATGCACATTTTCACAGTTTACAGTGTATATACCATGGTACTGAATGATTGCAGTACTTAATGAATGATGAATACAACTCTACTAACATTTTACATGTCCAAACAACCATGGTCCTTATTTGTTAATATATAGTTCAGCTAGTTAATGCATATAGTGCTACACATACTAGTGGCTATTTGATGTACTGGCGCCGTAGGTGGCCCAATAAACACTGAAAGATGTAAAGCTGTCAGATGTTTTTACACCAACTGCACTTAAAGATGGTGGAGAGTAGGAGAGTTAAACAATGTTACGGCTTTAGAGATTCTTCACCGCCTTGTCATAAAAATCAGACCTCCCCTATCCTGTCCGAGGAAGATGACAGCTGCCAATCAAACTGAGGATTTGAGTTTATGGTCACAGGTAAAAGCTTGCTGTCTGTGGGAATTGAGGCCTATGTGGATGTTTGGGTGAAACCCACAAACCAGTCAAAAACATGTCCAGGTCATAATTTACCACAAAAATTAGAAATTATATTTTGCACAAGCATAATGAACATTAAACCTATTTGTAGGATTCTATGGATTGTGTCATTTTCATGACAGTTAACCCAGCTAACAAAAATTTGTTCAAATTACGTTTTGCCAAAATGATTTCATGAATGTTCTCGGCAACCGATAAGGGACTATTCAATTTGATAATTTTGCAAACATTACGGGAACGTTACTTTTGAATGTTCTCTAAACATTCTGAAACAAGTAGTAACATTTAAAAAATGTTTGAAAAACATTCTATGAACAATGTATAAATAACATTTTTGTGCTAATGTTTTGAGAACATTATTAAAGACCAGATAACTTTTAACAAATGTTTGTTCGTAACTAGTTCTGAGAACATTCCCTGTTAGCTAGGAAGCAATTAACTTTAGTTAAGAGCCCTCCTATAATCCTCAATATCATGCAATAAATTAGTAAATATTGAATGTAAAAAAAAAAAAACATTTAACATGTAAACAATATGATGATTATATACTAAAATTATATATACCAAAAAAAAAAGGCAATTTTTCTTTTTTAGTCTGTAACATTCTTTTAAGTAAATCTGGTTTACAGTAAGTGTTTTATTTCGGCAAATTTGTGTCCATCTCATTCTGTAGCTTGTGTTATGTATATCTACATGTACTGTATATTGGCCACCCTGCTCTTTAGATATTAAGAGTTGGCTGTTGAAAAACCAAGGGAGTTTAACACACTCCTACACCTCCTTTCTCATATCCATCTGTCAGTCCAAATAAAGCAAGATAAAGAAAGAGAAAGTGTGTTTGTGTGTCTGTGTGTGTTTGCAAGGAGGAGTCTTCACATGGTGGTCTGTTTATGGTCAGGCCCAGAGGCAACAGATTCTCTGGTGTAAGAAGTAAAGGCATGCCGAGGTCCTCGTGAACAGGTGTGTGTGAGAGCGAGCGTGATCAGGTAAACAGACGGCCTCACACGAGAGAAAAGAGAAGGCAAAATGACATTTAAACGTGTGGAGGTTTGCGAGTGAGTGTCACGCTGAAGATCTGCGTGAGTTTCTGCTCCTCACTGAGACCAGACACAGTAAAATATCCGTGCCACCTGTTCATATGAGGAACGGCATTCTTATTGCTTTTTCAATAAAAACAACATAACGTTTAGTGTAGTCTAGACACTCAATAACCAACATTTCTGACCTTTTAAGAATTCGTTTTGCTCTTGGCATTTTACATTAGTCCGAAAATGCCATTTTTAATGTGTCTTCGTATTCCATTTTAGTATGAATTTATAGAGTTTGAACTGCATTGCTTGCATGAGCAAAGAAAATACAGCTATGATTTGTCTAATATAAGCCTGTTTGATTTGGTTCAAAAACATATCCAGTGTTATGATATGATATCTATGTGTATGTGCTAAGCAATCCAATGCTGCAGGAATGACATATTTTTGTTGGCCAAAACACACATTTTTTCAAACTTTATTCTACAAGATAAAATACATCAGTAATAGCCCTAAGGTTTTTTTTTCTTTCTTTCACTTAAGTGAGCTTGAGAAATAAAATAATAAATAAAATTCAGACATTCATTTGAACTCTCCAGCTAATTTAAATGCTGAGTTAGGATTCACAGAGTAAACCCATCCAGATCCGGCATTTTACAACATTTCTGCGTTACCCAGAATCCTACAGCTTTTAGAACTTACATAAAAACTCTCAAGTTGCAGCAGAGTCATGAGAATTGCGGTATTGGCTGTGGATTGTGGACGTTTAGCTGCCAGCAGCCGCTGGCCCCCATCGGCCCCCCTTCTACACCACAATTAACTAGCCGTGACCAGAGAGCTGCTCACACAACAGCACCTGTACACATGCTGCTGGCAGCTTGAACGTCCACACACACACACACACCTGAGGAACAGAGGTTTATTCATTAACATATTGAAATATTGGCATTTTTACCAGAGTGCAGTGGCAAAGCTAGCCTAGTAGTGGAGAATAAGACCAGCAATTAGTCTGTGTTTACTAAGCTGGGTCATTACTATGCAGTACAGATTCATATCACCGTGATATAAGTCTGTACAATATTACTCAGTTACAATTAATTGAAAATAGGGGTGCATTTTAAATAATTCCACTACTTTTTTGGTGAATTGTGTACTATCCACTAAGAAAAACTGGCTGTTTATTACAAAATACTCAACGTATTTCTTCACTGGTCATTATTTTATCAGTTTTTACTGTCTTTAATATCATTTTCCATACTGCACTCTCAGAAAAAAGATACAAAAGCTGACACTATGGTGGTACTCTTTCAAAAGGTAGTAATAAGTACCACTAAAATGTGCACTTCAGATACAAATATGTATCTTTAAGGCATTAATATGCACCTTTAGGGGTAAAAAAGGTACAAAAATGTACCTTTTGAAAGGGTACTGCCCCAGTGACAGCTTTTATACCCTTTTTCAGAGGTTTTGTAGTATCCCTTTAAAGGGGTCATATGATGCGATTTCAAGTTTTCCTTTCTCTTTGGAGTGTTACAAGCTGATTGTGCATAGATAAGATCCCTGAAGTTGCAAAGACTAAAGTCTCAAAACCAAAGAGATATTCTTTATCAAAGTTAAGACTCTGCCACACCCCCCTAAAACAACTCGTTCTTACACGCCCCCACATATCTACCTCACTATGTGGAAATATTAGCATAATGCCACCCAAATGTGCACGCAAAGAAAGAAGGCATGGTTTCAGTAACCGCAGTTAGTGTTGAAGCAGCATATCAGGGAGACGCTGTGTGTTTCTAGGCGAAAGCAAAAGCACTTTATTTGGCCTTCCGAAAGTAGATGCAATTAGGAATCTTTAAGATCACTTACAACAGAACAGCAATGCATTTTATGGACGACCGTTTCGTGAACCTAGGAGAGGAGGTAATTCTGACTTTGCTATGACAATCTGGCGCTTCTGAATCAGCTACTGTAAGTATGTTTTGTTACTAGTTTAAGTATTTGCTATTAACTGTTCAAATGCGGAGTTTTGCGCAGCGCAGAGTAACGTGTG